TGATACCTGTAGCCACAGGTTCTACCTCAACGTCTGGCAAGACATCTTTGTATGGAGCATGTTGTTGAGACATTTTCTGACCTCAATTGCATTTCACTTTCAAGGACAGCTTCTTCTCTTGTGGTCACAGTTGCATCACTGACCCCTTCAGAAAGGTGATCCTTTGAGTCAATAATTGGGATGATGTCATCTTCACAACACAGGTTGTTCAGGTTCAGTGATTTCCCCAATAGCTTTTTGTTCAAAATCTCCATCTTGTGTATCACTGACCTCTGCTATATCATCATATGTGCTTGGTTTAACCACTTCTACTATCTCTTCGTCTTGTAATACACCTTCATATGGAGCAGTTGTTGAAACACCTTCAGGGAACAATAGCGATTCACTTTTCAAGTGCTGTTTCCTCTGGCATAGTAAACGTTTCTTCAATGACCTCTTGCGAATGTCCATCCTTTGCTTCACGGATTTCTGCTGTTTCATCTTCAGAAATTGGCTTTTCAATTGTAGTTATTTTATCAATAGCTTCATGTTCAGGAGCTTTTGATGGCGTTTCAATTATCTTTTCCAGGTCTGCTTCTTTGGTTAACCACGCAACTTCTATTTTCTCAAGGTCTCCTGAGACATCCTTCATATGCAGAAGCTGTTGACACATCTTCAGACACCAATTGTGTTTCACTTTCAACTAATGTTTGCTCTCGCATGGTCACAGGTTCTTCAATTATTTGATCAGAATCTGCTCTGTTTCACTTCAACTATTTGCACGTTATCATCTTCACAAATTGTTTTTCAATGTCAATGATCTGTGCTATAGCCTCATGTTCAGTAGCCTGATCTGGTGTTTTACCGATCTGTTCCAAATCAGCTTCTGTGATACCTGTAGCCACAGGTGCTACCTCAACGTCTGGCAAGACATCTTTGTATGGAGCAGTTGTTGAGACATCTTCCGACTCCAATTGCAGTTCACTTTCAAGAGCAGCTTCTTTTCTTGTGGTCACAGTCACATCACTCACTTCTTCAGAAAGGTCATCCTTTGAGTCAATAATTGGCATGATGTCAACGTCACAAAACGGTTGTTCAGGTTCAGTGATTTCCCCAATCGCTTCGTGTTCAAAATCTCCATCTTGTGTATCAATGACCTCTGATATATCATCATATGTGCTTGGTTTAATCACTTCTTACTATCTCGTCGTCTTGTAAGACACCTTCACATGAAGCAGTTGTTGAAACACCTTCAGGGAACAATAGCGATTCACTTTCAAATGCTGTTTCATCTGGACATAGTAAACGTTTCTTCAATGACCTCGTTGCGAATCTCCATCCTTTGCTTCACGGATTTCTGCTGTTTCATCTTCAGAAATTGGCTTTTCAATTGTAGTTATTTTATCAATAGCTTCATGTTCAGGAGCTTTTGATGGCGTTTCAATTATCTTTTCCAGGTCAGTTTCTTTGATTGACACCACAACATCTTTTTTCTCAAAGTCTCCTGAGACACCTTCATATGCAGAAGCTGTTGACACATCTTCAGACACCAATTGTGTTTCACTTTTCATCTATTGTTTGCTCTTGCATGGTTACAGTTTCTTCAATTATTTGTTCAGAATCTGCCTCTTTTCAATTCAACTATTTGCACGATATCATCTTCAGAAATTGGCTTTTCAATTTCAATGATCTGTGCTATAGCTTCATGTTCAGTAGCCTCATCTGGTGTTTTACCGATCGGTTCCAAATCAGCTTCCGTGATACCTGTAGCCACAGGTACTACCTCAATGTCTTGCAAGACATCTTTGTACGGAGCAGTTGTTGAGACGTCTTCCGACACTAATTGCATTTCACTTTCAAGGACAGCTTCTTCTCTTGTGGTCACAGTTGCATCACTGACCCCTTCAGAAAGGTCCTCCTTCGAGTCAATAATTGTGATGATGTCATCGTCACAAAACGGTTGTTCATGTTCAGTGATTTCCCCAATCACTTCGTGTTCAAAATCTCCATCTTGTGTATCAATGATCTCTTCTCTTTCATCATATGTGCTTGGTTTAATCACTTCTTCTATCTCGTCGTCTTCTGAGAATCCTTCATATGGAGCAATTGTTGAAACATCTTCAGGGACCAATAGCAGTTCACTTTCAACTATTTTTTGCTCTCGCTTGGTCACAGTTTTTTCAATTTTCCGTTCAAAATCTGCCTCTTTTTCTTCAACTACTTGCACGATATCATCTTCAGAAATTGGCTGATCATCAGAAATTGGCTGAACATCAGTTTCACTTTCCTTCTCATCAACACTTTCCAAGAACACTACCCCTGAGGGTGTTTGCTCATCATTACTGAGCATTTGCATCTGGTTAGCGTTAGCCAATCTCATGGCATCTAAACTGGCATTAAACCATATTCCCTGCCCAGCAGGTCTAAATTCCAGTTTGTCCACCGGTTCATAAAAACTTTCAACACGTGCTTTACTATCAACAGCTATGGGGAGACTTGGGGTTCCCACCTCCACATTTTTTATCTCAATTCCTTGCATTGCTTTTTCATATGACCATGAGTCAACTTCGTATGCAGCAGTCATTGAAACATCTCCATGCACCAATTGCGTTTCACTTTCAAGTATTGTTTTCTCTGACTTGGTCGAAATATCTTCAATTTCATCTTCCGAATCTGTTTTCTTAGGTTCAGTGGTGTGTACTATATCATCTTCACAAATTTGCTGTTGAATTTCTGGAATTATTTTAACCGCTTCATGATCATATGCTTCATCTGTTTTTTCTGGAATCTCTGCCATTTCAGGTTCTGTCATTGATATATCTACTTCTGCTATTTCAACGTCTTGTGAGAAACCTTGATAATTAGCAGTGGTGGATACGTCTTCAGACCCTAATGGTGTTTCACTTTCAACTACTTTTTTTTCTGCCGTGGTAAGAGTTTCTTCAAAGACGACTTGAGAATCTGCCTCCTTTGGTATAACGATTTCTGCTATATCATCTTCAGAAAGTGGCATTTCACTGTCAGTGATTTTATCAATAGCTTCATGTTTGCGAGATACTCCTGGCGTTTCAATGATCTCTTCCTGGTCGCCTTCTTTGATTGACCTAACAACTTCAATTTTCTCAAAGTCTTCTGAGACACCTTCATATGCAACAGCCGTTAAAACTTCTTCAGACGCAAGTTGCGTATAACCTTCAACCATTGTTTGCTCTCGCATGGTCACAGTTCCTTCAATTATTTTTTCAGAATCTGCCTCTTTTACTTCAACTATTTGCACGATATCATCTTCAGAAATTGGCTTTTCAATTTCAGTGATCTGTTCTATAGCTGCATGCTCAGCAGCCACATCTGGTGTTTTACCGATCTGTTCCAAATCAACTTCTGTGATACCTGTAGCTACAGGTACTACCTCAACGTCTTGCAAGACATCTTTGTACTGAGCAGCTGTTGAGACATCTTCCGACACTAATTGCATTTCACTTTCAAGGACAGCTTCTTCTCTTGTGGTCACAGTTGCATCACTGACCCCTTCAGAAAGGTCATCGTTTGAGTCAATAATTGCGATGATGTCATCTTCAAAAAACAGATGTTCAGGTTCAGTGATTTCCCCAATAGCTTCTTGTTCAAAATCTCCATCTTGTGTATCAATGATTTCTGCTATATCATCATATGTGCTTGGTTTAACCACTTCTCTTATCTCGTCGTCTTCTGAGACACCTTCATACGGAGCAGTTGTTGAAACATCTTCAGGGACCAATAGCGTTTCACTTTCAAGTACTGTTTTCTCTGGCCTAGTAAACGTTTCTTCAATGACGTCTTGCGAATCTACATCCTTTGGTTCAAGGATTTCTGTTGTTTCAGCTTCAGAAATTGGCTTTGCAATTGTAGTTATTTTATCAATAGCTTCATGTTCAGGAGTTTTTCCTGGGGTTTCAATTATATTTTCCTGGTCAGCTTCTTTGATTGACACCACAACATCTTTTTTCTCAAAGTCTCCTGTGACACCTTCATATGTAGCAGCTGTTGACACATGTTCAGACACCAATTGTGTTTCACTTGTATCTATTGTTTGCTCTTGCATGGTTACAGTTTCTTCAATTATTTGTTCAGAATCTGCCTCTTTTACTTCAACTATTTGCACGATATCATCTTCAGAAATTGGCTTTTCAATTTCAATGGTCTGTGCTATAGCTTCATGTTCAGGAGCCTCATCTGGTGTTTTACCGATCGGTTCCAAATCAGCTTCCGTGATACCTGTAGCCACAGGTACTACCTCAACGTCTTGCAAGACATCTTTGTACGGAGCAGTTGTTGAGACATCTTCCGACACTAATTGCATTTCACTTTCTCGGACAGCTTCTTCTCTTGTTGTCACAGTTGCATCACTGACCCCTTCAGAAAGGTCATCCTTTGAGTCAATAATTGCGATGATGTCATCTTCACAACATGGTTGTTCAGGTTCAGTGATTTCCCCAATAGCTTTTTGTTCAAAATCTCCATCTTGTGTATCACTGACCTCTGCTATATCATCATATGTGCTTGGTTTAACCACTTCTACTATCTCTTCGTCTTGTAAGACACCTTCATATGGAGCAGTTGTTGAAACATCTTCAGGGACCAATAGCGTTTCACTTTCAAGTACTGTTTCCTCTGGCCTAGTAAACGTTTCTTCAATGACCTCTTGCGAATCTACATCCTTTGGTTCAAGGATTTCTGTTGTTTCAGCTTCAAAAATTGGCTTTGCAATTGTAGTTATTTTATCAATAGCTTCATGTTCAGGAGCTTTTGATGGCGTTTCAATTATCTTTTCCAGGTCAGCTTCTTTGGTTGACCACGCAACTTCTATTTTCTCAAGGTCTCCTGAGACACCTTCATATGCAGAAGCTGTTGACACATCTTCAGACACCAATTGTGTTTCACTTTCAACTAATGTTTGCTCTCGCATGGTTATAGTTTCTTCAATTATTTGTTCAGAATCTGCCTCTTTAACTTCAACTATTTGCACGATATCATCTTCGTAAATTGGCTTTTCAATTTCAATGGTCTGTGCTATAGCTTCATGTGCATTAGCCTCATCTGGTGTTTTACCGATCTGTTCCAAATCAGCTTCCATGATACCTGTATCCACAGGTACTACCTCAACGTCTTGCAAGACATCTTTGTACGGAGCAGTTGTTGAGACGTCTTCCGACACTAATTGCATTTCACTTTCAAGGACAGCTTCTTCTCTTGTGGTCACAGTTGCATCACTGACCCCTTCAGAAAGGTCATCCTTTGAGTCAATAATTGCGATAATGTCATCTTCACAACACGGTTGTTCAGGTTCAGTGGTTTCCCCAATAGCTTTTTGTTCAAAATCTCCATCTTGTGTATCAATGACCTCTGCTATATCATCATATGTCCTTGGTTTAACCACTTCTTCTATCTCGTCGTCTTGTAAGACACCTTCATATGGAGCAGTTGTTGAAACACCTTCAGGGAACAATAGCGATTCATTTTCAAGTACTGTTTCCTCTGGCATAGTAAACATTTCTTCAATGACCACTTGCGAATCTCCATCCTTTGCTTCACGGATTTCTGCTGTTTCATCTTCAGAAATTGGCTGTTCAATTGTAGTTATTTTATCAATAACTTCATGTTCAGGAGCTTTTGATGGCGTTTCAATTATCTTTTCCAGGTCAGCTTCTTTGGTTGACCACGCAACTTCTATTTTCTCAAGGTCTCCTGAGACATCTTCATATGCAGAAGCTGTTGACACATCTTCAGACACCAATTGTGTTTCACTTTCAACTAATGTTTGCTCTCGCATGGTCACAGTTTCTTCAATTTTTTGATCAGAATCTGTCTGTTTCACTTCAACTATTTGCACGTTATCATCTCCACAAAATCGTTTTTCAATGTCAATGATCTGTGCTATAGCCTCATGTTCAGTAGCCTGATCTGGTGTTTTACTGATATGTTCCAAATCAGCTTCTGTGATACCTGTAGCCACAGGTGCTACCTCAACGTCCGGCAAGACATCTTTGTATGGCGCAGTTGTTGAGACATTTTCCGACTCCAATTGCATTTCACTTTCAAGGGCAGCTTCTTCTCTTGTGGTCACAGTCGCATCACTCACTTCTTCAGAAAGGTCATCCTTTGAGTCAATAATTGGCGTGATGTCATCGTCACAAAACGGTTGTTCAGGTTCAGTGATTTCCCCAATCGCTTCGTGTTCAAAATCTCCATCTTGTGTATCAATGACCTCTGCTCTTTCATCATATGTGCTTGGTTTAATCACTTCTTCTATCTCGTCGTCTTGTAAGACACCTTCATATGGAGCAGTTGTTGAAACACCTTCAGGGAACAATAGAGATTCACTATCAAGTACTGTTTCCTCTGACACAGTAAACATTTCTTCAATGACCTCTTGCGAATCTCCATCCTTTGCTTCACGGATTTCTGCTGTTTCATCTTCAGAAATTGGCTGTTCAATTGTAGTTATTTTATCAGTAGCTTCATGTTCAGGAGCTTTTGATGACGTTTCAATTATCTTTTCCAGGTCAGCTTCTTTGGTTGACCACGCAACTTCTATTTTCTCAAGGTCTCCTGAGACATCCTCATATGCAGAAGCTGTTGACACATCTTCAGACACCAATTGTGTTTCACTTTCAACTAATGTTTGCTCTCGCATGGTCACAGTTTCTTCAATTATTTGATCAGAATCTGTCTGTTTCACTTCAACTATTTGCACGTTATCATCTTCACAAATTGGTTTTTCAATGTCAATGATCTGTGCTATAGCCTCATGTTCAGTAGCCTGATCTGGTGTTTTACTGATCTGTTCCAAATCAGCTTCTGTGATACCTGTAGCCACAGGTGCTACCTCAACGTCTGGCAAGACATCTTTGTATGGAGCAGTTGTTGAGGCATTTTCCGACTCCAATTGCATTTCACTTTCAAGGACAGCTTCTTCTCTTGTGGTCACAGTCGCATCACTCACTTCTTCAGAAACGTCATCCTTTGAGTCAATAATTGGCATGATGTCATCGTCACAAAACGGTTGTTCAGGTTCAGTGATTTCCCCAATCGCTTCGTGTTCAAAATCTCCATCTTGTGTATCAATGACCTCTGCTCTTTCATCATATGTGCTTGGTTTAATCACTTCTTCTATCTCGTCGTCTTGTAAGACACCTTCATATGGAGCAGTTGTTGAAACACCTTCAGGGAACAATAGCGATTCACTTTCAAGTACTGTTTCCTCTGACACAGTAAACATTTCTTCAATGACCTCTTGCGAATCTCCATCCTTTGCTTCACGGATTTCTGCTGTTTCATCTTCAGAAATTGGCTGTTCAATTATAGTTATTTTATCAGTAGCTTCATGTTCAGGAGCTTTTGATGACGTTTCAATTATCTTTTCCAGGTCAGCTTCTTTGGTTGACCACGCAACTTCTATTTTCTCAAGGTCTCCTGAGACATCCTCATATGCAGAAGCTGTTGACACATCTTCAGACACCAATTGTGTTTCACTTTCAACTAATGTTTGCTCTCGCATGGTCACAGTTTCTTCAATTATTTGATCAGAATCTGTCTGTTTCACTTCAACTGTTTGCACGTTATCATCTTCACAAATTCGTTTTTCAATGTCAATGATCTGTGCTATAGCCTCATGTTCAGTAGCCTGATCTGGTGTTTTACTGATCTGTTCCAAATCAGCTTCTGTGATACCTGTAGCCACAGGTGCTACCTCAACGTCTGGCAAGACATCTTTGTATGGAGCAGTTGTTGAGGCATTTTCCGACTCCAATTGCATTTCACTTTCAAGGGCAGCTTCTTCTCTTGTGGTCACAGTCGCATCACTCACTTCTTCAGAAACGTCATCCTTTGAGTCAATAATTGGCATGATGTCATCGTCACAAAACAGTTGTTCAGGTTCAGTGATTTCCCCAATCGCTTCGTGTTCAAAATCTCCATCTTGTGTATCAATGACCTCTGCTCTTTCATCATATGTGCTTGGTTTAATCACTTCTTCTATCTCGTCGTCTTGTAAGACACCTTCATATGGAGCAGTTGTTGAAACACCTTCAGGGAACAATAGCGATTCACTTTCAAGTACTGTTTCCTCTGACACAGTAAACATTTCTTCAATGACCTCTTGCGAATCTCCATCCTTTGCTTCACGGATTTCTGCTGTTTCATCTTCAGAAATTGGCTGTTCAATTGTAGTTATATTATCAGTAGCTTCATGTTCAGGAGCTTTTGATGGCTTTTCAATTATCTTTTCCAGGTCAGCTTCTTTGGTTGACCACGCAACTTCTATTTTCTCAAGGTCTCCTGAGACACCTTCATATGCAGACGCTGTTGACACATCTTCCGACACCAATTGTGTTTCAATTTCAACTAATGTTTGCTCTCGCATGGTTACAGTTCTTTCAATTATTTGTTCAGAAGCTGCCTCTTTCACTTCAACTATTTGCACGATATCATCTTCATAAATTGGCTTTTCAATTTCAATGGTCTGTGCTATAGCTTCATGTTCAGAAGCCTCATCTGGTGTTTTACCGATCTGTTCCAAATCAGCTTCCGTGATACCTGTAGCCACAGGTACTACCTCAACGTGTTGCAAGACATCTTTGTACGGAGCAGTTGGTGAGACGTCTTCCGACACTAATTGCATTTCACTTTCCAGGACAGCTTCTTCTCTTGTGGTCACAGTTGCATCACTGACCCCTTCAGAAAGGTCATCCTTTGAGTCAATAATTGCGATGTTGTCATCTTCACAACACGGTTGTTCAGGTTCAGTGGTTTCCCCAATAGCTTTTTGTTCAAAATCTCCATCTTTTGTATCAATGACCTCTGCTATATCATCATATGTCCTTGGTTTAACCACTTCTTCTTTCTCGTCGTCTTGTAACACACCTTCATATGGAGCAGTTGTTGAAACACCTTCAGGGAACAACAGCGATTCATTTTCAAGTACTGTTTCCTCTGGCATAGTAAACATTTCTTCAATGACCTCTTGCGAATCTCCATCCTTTGCTTCACGGATTTCTGCTGTTTCATCTTCAGAAATTTGCTGTTCAATTGTAGTTATTTTATCAATAACTTCATGTTCAGGAGCTTTTGATGGCGTTTCAATTATCTTTTCCAGGTCAGCTTCTTTGGTTGACCACGCAACTTCTATTTTCTCAAGGTCTCCTGAGACATCTTCATATGCAGAAGCTGTTGACACATCTTCAGACACCAATTGTGTTTCACTTTCAACTAATGTTTGCTCTCGCATGGTCACAGTTTCTTCAATTATTTGATCAGAATCTGTCTGTTTCACTTCAACTATTTGCACGTTATCATCTCCACAAAATCGTTTTTCAATGTCAATGATCTGTGCTATAGCCTCATGTTCAGTAGCCTGATCTGGTGTTTTACTGATCTGTTCCAAATCAGCTTCTGTGATACCTGTAGCCACAGGTGCTACCTCAACGTCCGGCAAGACATCTTTGTATGGCGCAGTTGTTGAGACATTTTCCGACTCCAATTGCATTTCACTTTCAAGGGCAGCTTCTTCTCTTGTGGTCACAGTCGCATCACTCACTTCTTCAGAAAGGTCATCCTTTGAGTCAATAATTGGCGTGATGTCATCGTCACAAAACGGTTGTTCAGGTTCAGTGATTTCCCCAATCGCTTCGTGTTCAAAATCTCCATCTTGTGTATCAATGACCTCTGCTCTTTCATCATATGTGCTTGGTTTAATCACTTCTTCTATCTCGTCGTCTTGTAAGACACCTTCATATGGAGCAGTTGTTGAAACACCTTCAGGGAACAATAGCGATTCACTTTCAAGTACTGCTTCCTCTGACACAGTAAACATTTCTTCAATGACCTGTTGCGAATCTCCATCCTTTGCTTCACGGATTTCTGCTGTTTCATCTTCAGAAATTGGCTGGTCAATTGTAGTTATTTTATCAGTACCTTCATGTTCAGGAGCTTTTGATGGCGTTTCAATTATCTTTTCCAGGTCAGCTTCTTTGGTTGACCACGCAACTTCTATTTTCTCAAGGTCTCCTGAGACACCTTCATATGCAGACGCTGTTGACACATCTTCAGACACCAATTGTGTTTCACTTTCAACTAATGTTTGCTCTCGCATGGTTACAGTTTCTTCAATTATTTGTTCAGAATCTGCCTCTTTCACTTCAACTATTTGCACGATATCATCTTCATAAATTGGCTTTTCAATTTCAATGGTCTGTGCTATAGCTTCATGTTCAGAAGCCTCATCTGGTGTTTTACCGATCTGTTCCAAATCAGCTTCCATGATACCTGTAGCCACAGGTACTACCTCAACGTCTTGCAAGACATCTTTGTACGGAGCAGTTGGTGAGACGTCTTCCGACACTAATTGCATTTCACTTTCACGGACAGCTTCTTCTCTTGTGGTCACAGTTGCATCACTGACCCCTTCAGAAAGGTCATCCTTTGAGTCAATAATTGCGATGATGTCATCGTCACAAAACGGTTGTTCATGTTCAGTGATTTCCCCAATCGCTTCGTGTTCAAAATCTCCATCTTGTGTATCAATGATCTCTGCTCTTTCATCATATGTGCTTGGTTTAATCACTTCTTCTATCTCGTCGTCTTCTGAGAATCCTTCATAAAGAGCAATTGTTGAAACATCTTCAGGGACCAATAGCAGTTCACTTTCAACTATTGTTTGCTCTCGCTTGGTCACAGTTTTTT